AAAAAAAAATCAAGATTAAGTATCTGGTCTTAGTGTGCAACAAATGTTTAACTAAACGAACATGATTACTTGGGTCCTGGTGCGGGAGAATTGTCTGTATTCTGTCAATCATGTTTTAAATAAACGCTGATTGGCCAGGCAGGAGGTATAGGCGGGGAAACCAGACAGGAAGTTGAAATGATGCAAGGGGAGCAGGAGAATTCTGTGAAGGAGGAAGTTGATTCCTCGCACTCCTGCCCAGACCACCGAAGCAGCAGGATGTGAGCCTATAATTCATGATCCTAGAGAAGCTAAATAAGAAGGTGAACCTGAAGAAAATCATATAGTTATCCTCCTGGATATAGGAAGTAGTCAAGATTAAAGGCAAACTTGGGTGCACGGGGGGTGGGGGGTGGGGGGGATGGTGGAAGTAAGGGGAGATGGTTAGAGAGAAGGGAGAGGGGGAGGATTGGGGATGGCGTGGGGGAATGAGATCGGGGGGAGGAAGGATGGATATGGGAGCAGGCAAGTATATATCTCAACTAAGGCAGACATTTTAGGGTTGGAAAGAGACTTGTTTCTGGAGGGGTTCTCAGGCCCAAGGAGAGGTCCCCAGATTCTTCCCTGGGCAGCAGAGGAGAGGGTGCCTGAACTGGCCTTGGCCCATAACCATACTGATGAATATTTTGCATATCACCATAGAACCTTCATCGGGTGATGGATGGAGATAGAGACAGAGACACATATTGGAACACTGGACTTAACTCCCTAGATCCAAATGAGAAGCAGAAGGAGGGAAAACGTGAGCAAGATAGGCAGGACTAGAGGGAACCTTCATCCGACAATGGATGGCGATACAGACAGAGACCCACATTGGAGCACCGGACTGAGCCCCTCAAGGTCCAGATGAGGAGCAGAAGGAGGGAGAACATGAAAAAGGAAATCAGGACCGCGAGGGGTGGATTCACCCTCTGATACAAGGGGACTGATCGAATGAGAGCTCACCAAGGCCAGCTGGACTGGGACTGAACGAGCATGTGATCAAACTGGATTCTCTGAATGTGGCTGACATGGGGGCTGACTGAGAAGCCATTGACAATGGCACTAGGTCTTGTTTCGTCTGCATGTACTGGCTGTTTGGGATCCTAGTCTGTTTGGATGCTCACCTTCCTAGGCCTGGAGGGAGCGGGGAGGAACTTGAACTTCCCACAGGGCAGGAAACCCTGACTGCTCTTTGGACTGGAGAGGGAGGAGGAGAGGGAGTGGGGGGGAGGATAGGGAGTGGGGGGAATGGGAGGGTATGGGGAGAAGGGGAGGAAGTGGAAATTTTTTATAAACAAACAAATTTAAAAAAATCAAAAAAAGTCTCCACAAAAGCATATAGAATATATGTAAAACTGTGTGTGCATCTCTTTGTGATCATATGCATGCACTTTAAATCTCTATTGCAACTTCCTGTATATATGCTTGAATTATAAGGTAGTCTTAAATGAGCTCTTATCTCTCTAAATTAGATTGCTAAGGTTCAGATTAAACAGACATTAAATATTCTGCCACCATCTTCTAGCAAGAAAAGAGGCTGCCTTGTCTGAGTCATGCCTGAAATCTACCCTTCTTAGTTCTTAGCCTGGGACAGAGTAGCTGGTCTTCCCTGGGCCATTGGACTTGCCTTTATAACGAGAGTACAGGACTATACAACAGTTAGTTGTTCATCTGAAACCACATGCCATTGGGCTGATGCGTTTGTAGTGGATCTGGCTCACTGTTGCACTGCGCATTGTCTGAGGTGTTTGTTGAAAACATAGAAATTGGTGACTGGCTGTATTTCTCTTCGTAGACTATCTTGTTTGTTACATTTTCTACATGTATGAAATGTAGTACATATATAGTACAAATGAGTTTCATAACTTGAATTTCATAGTTAAATTTCAATAAACCTGTACAGTTTTATTATAGAGATCTTTCTGTAACATAAGAGGCCGGGCCTGCTTGTTTGTGGGTTTCTGTCCTGCCCGGCCCCCCAGCTGTTTAATCCCAGAGAAAAATCACACTGAGATCTCTATAAGTTATAATGCTGATTGGCCCATTAACTCTAGTTTCTTATTAGCTAACTCTCTCATCTTGATTAACCCATTTTTCTGATCTATTTTAGCCATGTGGCTCAGTACCTTTTTCAGTGGGGCAGCTCACATCCTGCTGCTTAGGTGATCTGGGCAGGAGTGCGAGGAATCAACTTCCTCCTTCACAGAATTCTCCTGCTCTCCTTGCATCATTTCCACTTCCTGTCTGGTTTCCCCGCCTACACCTCCTGCCTGGCCAATCAGTGTTTATTTAAAACATTATTGACAGAATACAGATAATTCTCCCACACCACTTCCCCCTCTTTTTTAAAAAAAACAAAGGAAAATATACATAGTCCATTTTTGGGGAATGTGGGTGTAGTATTCCAGGCTACTTTCTGTTGGTTGGGGGCACTGATAATCTTATGGGGACCTAAAGAAAATTTAGAGTTATGATCAAGTCCTGACTGAAGTATCCTGTGAGTCTTGGTCATCTCAGGCAGCAGTCTTGAACCTGTTCTGGATGAAGAACTCTGACATCTGGGCCATCTGTTTTTACCAGAGATTGCTCAGGTGGTCTCCCTTGGTCAAAGATGATTTTTCTTAACTCTGAATAAATTCAGAGCCTCTCATTTTTTGTGGAAACAAAAGCAAAATCTCTTCTCTAAAGTAACATACCTTTTGACTTTAATTTCGAAGCCAAGGTATTTTCAAAATACCTATCTTGGATTAATTTTGTAGCATTTATAAGCAAATATCTTTTCGCAGCTGTTGCTCCTTCGTCAGCATTTAAACGATTTAGAGAGAGCATAATAGCATACAGTATCAAGATTCTCTGTGTATTTTTTATCTTTACGTGGCTTTATTTTAACCTCTATTTTTTTTATTTTTACTTTTAACTGTTGGCCTTTTGAGACAGGTTCTCTGCATATCTTTGTCCTGGAATAACTCTGTAGACCAGGCTATCTTTGAACTCCCAGAGATCCATCTGTCTCTGCCGCCCAGGCTACTCGTTCTTTTTTTTTTTTTTTTTAATTCTGAGAACTTTAACCTTTAACCTGTATATATTTTTAACACAATGTAAACCATTTAGAGGTTTTTTTTTATTCTTTGAGTCTCTCTTTACTGTATATCTCTCTTTTTTTGACCACATGGGTCTTTAATTTGTTAAGGAATATGGAGAAAAAAAAAGTCAACAGCTCTTAAGGCGTTTTAAGGTCCTTGCCAGGAAGCAAGCTGTAACAGTGTTTCCATAGTCTGGACTGCCTGCTTAAAAGAGTCAGAGTTTTTTCTGGCAGGACAGCCCAGAAAGCTGGCATTTTAAAACAGCGTAGCTTTTTTCCTGCCACGGCTGAAAACCAAAATGCTTTACTCTAGTCTTTCCCAAGCTTTTTCAGGCTTTCTGTGGATGCAGTTATCCACGTGGGCGCCATTCTGTAACAGGGTCCCATTTATCACATATCAAAGATTCTAATGAGGCACCTCTGGACACGGGATGGATTTTATAACACATTAAGGCCTAAACCCATATTGAAACTGAAAGAACATTTTGCTTGACTCTTATAATTCCCATACAGGAAATCCAGTGGGCACTCTGAATAGGATCTACGCTAGAATCTTTCTCCACAGAGGAGGGACCGACAACAAGTAGCAGCATTTCTGACATTCCACTGTTTCTTTAACTGATTTCAGAAAGGAAAATCCCAAAATAACAAATATGAATTTTCTTGATTGAAAGAAAACATAGCTTCAGAAAAGAGAATCTTTACTCTTAACTAGGACAAAGATTATGGACATTGGTCAATAATTCACCTATTTAAAATGATATGACCCTGGGTTCATGAACATACTATACAGTGAAACTAAAAGTAAAGTCAGCCTTCCAGAGTGGACCTAACAGAAGCTCTGTGTCCACAATTAGCACCTACCACGGAGGCCTTCCAAGAGTTTCCACATGGAAACCTGGAATGTGAGTCTCATTCAACAACCAGAGAAGACAGAGAGCTTCTTACAGGGAAAGAGCACACATTACCAGGTTCATTAATTAAACAGTGCGGGTGAAGCAGATGGATGCTACCTACGCTCCAATGACGCTAAATTGGGACAGAGGTTTGCAGTCCTTAATGAGGCTCCATAAAATGAATGATTACATAGTGATCACAAGTAAACAAACCTGGAGAAGAGCTGGACTGCAGGCAACAAGTCCTGCAACATGGTAACAAGGAAACCAAAGGGGAAGCATCTAATCGGCATACCTTTGAGGTCATTCAATCCCATATCAAGCTGGCCCAGAAAAGCAGAGTCCACAAATGACAGTCAGTGAGACAAGAATATAAAAATGCCTGGCCATGGAGATGAATGGAACAGAAACTGGTTTTGTTCCGTATGTAGTGTGTAACTGAGAATGACACTATCAAGCTTCCTTTTGTGGTCACAGAAGAGCATGTACTTTGGCCTTTCAGCTTAAAAGCCCAGCAAAGGAAGCTATCCAGAAGATGAGGGCATCAGGGTTATTTTCAGTCATACTTTTTCTTTATCACTAATTAATTCTTTACTTTTTCTTCTTATGCCCACTCCTTCATTTTTTTTTGTCTTAAATAGGCTATACTGCAAATGAACTTGTACATTAACTCTGAATGTATCTTATGAGAGAAACAGGAAATTAATGAGATACTAAAATTTTCCTGAAGACATTGGTTGTTGCCCAGAACACACCACATACAATCTTTAGAATGGTCTTCTAGATTTTCCAGCTAAGACAGAATATACTTCCATCAAGCAACTGAAAACTTTGAGCAACAAGGGGACAAATGGCAGAGACACACGCTACAGCACAGTTCTGGGAGTCCACTGGAGTTACTACTGAGTGTCCCTGTTCTGTCACCTTGATCACTGCTGTGCCCCCAGTGCCCTCTGTTATGATGTAAGATGCTCTTTTGTGACACTCTCCTCCCCTCTGGTTTTCCCTCTCAATAGTCCTGGTCTATGCGGAAAGGTTTTCACACCTACTTTAGAAAGAGGCAGGGTAACACAGACAAATCAATGTCTGCAAAAACTCAGGAACATGACCACAGTGAAAGCATGCTTTGGACTCTTCACCAAGACAGATGCACAGTGAGTTATACATGCTTATTTTGGGCTAGACTCTGGCAAGAATGGTCATAGAGAATATATTGTGTTTAATGTTTTTACTGAATTTTAATTTGGAAGGTACATGAATAAAAGATGTATACATAATTTCAAGACAGTAACCCTTCCCATTTTACTTCTTTATTTTATTGTCGTGTCTTTATTCTATACAATTAGGGTTTAAACCAGTGCTTCTCAACCTTCCTAATGCTGCATGCCTTTAATACAGTTCCTTATGTTGTGGTAACTCCCAACCATAAAATTATTTTGTTATTTCATAATTATAATTTTATACTTAGGAACTGTAATGTAAATATCAAATATGCATGATATCTGATATGTGGCCCCTGGGAAGGGTGGGTCAAGCTCCAAAGAGCTATGACTCACAGGTTGAGAACCATTGGTTAAAAGGCTATGGACTTCTCAGTGACAGTTCTGTCAGAATATGCGAAAATTAAGAGAAATTTTTCCACTTTGCAAACCTTTGTCATTTCAATGGTCTTTGTCCTGCCTGGGGTGTTGAGATAATCTTTTTATACACTGTGTGAAGATATGTCTGTCCTTTCTCACCTGTCTAAGGCACCTTCTGATTCATTTAATAAAGAGCTGAACAGTCAATAGCTACACAGGAGAGGACAGGAAGGACTTCTGGGCAGAGAGAGAACTCTGGGAAAAATTCTGAGGCAGAGGAAGTCAGATGTGTGGTATTGAGGAGAGGTAATGAGCCACATGACAGAATGTAGACTAATATAAATGGGATAACTTTTAAGAGCTAGTTGGGAACAAGCCTAAGCTAAGGCCAAGCTTTCATAATTAATAAAAAAAAGTCTTCATGTCATTACTCAGGAGTTGGAAGTCAAAAGAAAGACCCACCACAGAGGGGCCAAGTGAGAAAGAGAAGCAGTTAAGCACTCAGGATGCTTGGATGTTCAACCTAGTCCCACCCCTACTAGAGCCCAGGCCAAGTTCTGCTTCCTACACTTTCACTTTCTCCATCCGATGCTGTTTTTGGCGTGAGAATAATGGTCCAGAAGCCCTTCTGTATGTCCTTGAGGAAACAAGCTTTTGCACATTATCCATCCATGCCCTAAGTGCCTTCTGGAGCTAAGCCTGCCCCTAGGTCCATGACTGGTTAGCTAGCATTTTATTCATCACATGTCAACACCAAGTTCCAGCCTGTTTCCACTTCTGTTCTTCTCCAATTGTGTGATTATTCCATTGTATTTGTCTCATTCATAATCATAAAATGCAAGTAGTGACAGCTATAGCTCCCAACTCAACTCACAGACGTTTCTAGCAAAACTAGATATCCTTACACATATTAAAATAGGAATCTTAAGTGGTTAGTTAATTTTTTAGATTACAGAACACATGCCAGGTAATTTTCAATGGCAAAGGGCAAGGATATTAGGAAGCCATTGTAAAAACAGAAACAAGTGCCAAGCCCTAAGGTGTAAGTCATGTTCAGGAATGTGCAGTGTTTTCCTCTCCTTTTCTGAAACTAGATGGCAATTCCTAAGATGCTGAGCATACTCTTCCATTTGGATCTGTAGATCAAAGTAAAATTGCTTTAAAAAATGGAGCACAAATAATTATTAACAATACTAGTCTCTATCTCCTTTTCTACATCAAAATAAGTTTTTCATAATTTATAAATGTATATTTCTTAATAATTCTGTATTATTTCATAGGCTGAAGTTCCATTATTAGTCAGTCCATTTGCCATATTCAAACAGCAAATAATCCCTGGGCCAGACTGTGATTAAAAAACACATAATTAGAAATGGTATTGGTGATTGATTGATGCTTAAATAAAATGTCCAACAAGGGATCACTTATAAAATTGACAATGTTTTAATCAAAAATTAAAAAAGATCACTGCATAAATGTGAACAATCTCTATTTAGTACATAAAAATCTTACATGAAATTTATGTATATATTTGCATAAATATGTGCAATATGGCCCCAAACCATAAAAATTCTGAACTTTCTTTTACAACTTCCTAAGACTATGGCACAAGGAGTTTGGAGTGATGATAGATAGACAGATAGATAGATAGATAGATAGATAGATAGATAGATAGATAGATGGATGGATGGATGGATGGATGGATGGATGGATGGATGGATGGATGGCCGGCCGGACAGATAGATGCATCACTGTGTCACCAGGCAGTAGTTCTGTGCAATGTTAAAGGAGAAGCGTATAGGAAAGAGTGTCAGTTGCTCTAGCATTTCACACCATGCTCCTGACATTTTTCTTTCTGCCTGTCCCTTTCACTGCCACTGGGGACAGAACGAGGGTCTCACATCCACTAGCGCTCTCTCTGCCACTGAACGCTATCCCAGTCTAATTTTGTAATAACTTTTCTTCTTCAGCCTATCAAACTGTTACATTCTTCCACCATCAGGAAGGAATTCAAAGTTCAAAATTAAAGCTTACAACCGCACCCTCCACTGGAGAGGAAATATTTTTATATGGAAATCTGAAACAACTTCACCAAATGCTAAGCAAGCTTAAAGTAACTGGACTATGTTTCATACAACACCTCGAAAGCTTTCCTTCTGGATCTCCCCCAAGACATTTTTAGCCGGAGGGGTTAAAAGTGTGGGTGTGGAAGTCAGCTTTTGTTTGAAAAATTAGCAATGCTATGAGTCACCCTGCATTAGCAGCCGAGGAGTTGTGCATCTTGTACGAATCCAGACACCATATGCCATGCGAAGGCCTATTACTTTATTCGGTGCCACTGCTGACAGGCAGCCACGTGGGTATCCCCAGTGGAAGGGCTGTCTCCTCCCGGCGGCGAGGACAGGAACCCAGTGAGCTGAACACATCCGACATTGTACAGAGCAGCAGGAACAGCTGGTAAGCTAGGGAGCAGCAAGGGCTAGCTAGGAGCGCGGATGCTAATGAGCCTGGCGACAATGCCGGCCTTCAGAGGGGCCAGCCCAATGTCGACATGTTCCCACAGCAGCCTCAAGAGGAGAATCTGCTCGCTCATGCCTTCAGTCTCATTAAGCACACACTGGCGTTAGTAGTTTATCAAAATCTGCTGTAAACTTACAAGTCATAAATCTCCCCAACAGTTTCAACATGCTTTAAAAAGTAGCAGGGAACTGTGTGGAGAAGCCCACGGGTCTGTTTGGGTAGCAGGGAGAATTTACTAGGCAGTATTGGGCAGCGGGTTAACAGGACAGGCAGAACAGCAGCTGCTGGGTTCAGGTCCCAGCTACTACACTCACATAGCTGTGTGGCCTCCAGCAGGTTTTCTACTCTGTGCTCTGCTTGGGCTGTGTCTTATCAAATGACAGAGTCCTACGTTTGCATAATATGTTACCAGAATATGACTCTTTTCTTCACTGGTTGCTGGAAGGACCCATGGACTGTATATACAGGTGAAGTTCTTAGTGCCTGGACTGACTGAGTAGGGGTTGGTTAACCGATGAATGTCTCTTCTAGGGGACCAGAGCATACAGCACTATGAAGCTCAGCATCCTGGCATCCTTTGTGTCCCACAACATAAGGCAGCAGACATCTCATGAGGGAAGGGTTTAGATACAGAGTGAGATCATGTAGAGCAGGGGTGCAGGGAGTTGTGGGGGCTCTGGGAACTTCAGGCAAGATTACTAGTGGCCATGGGTTTGGTCTCCTAGAAGCATTTGGGGCTCTTTGACTGTTATGATCTGCGATGGTTCTGAGTGCATGGAAGGCTCTGGGCTGAAAAGTGTTCACTTTCTGAACAACCCTCCCCCTCTCCCCGCTTTTTTTGTGACTCCTGTTCATTCTTCCAAGGCAGGCCAAAGCCCCCTCCTTGGGACACTTTGCCTTGAGTTCTGAGCTGAACCTGCCATTGCAGTGATTAGGACACTGTGACCGCTCTTTGCTGTATACCCCTGGAGGACAAGAGCCACGCCTTCCATATGTTTATCCTCAGCAATAGCAAGGAGTCTGGCAGACAGCAAAAGCCAATGGATATCTTATTCAATGAACAAGGAAATCAGGAAAAATGAAAACCACAGCCCTGCTTTTAACTTCTCATTTTCTGAGCCTACCTTTGGGAGTGAGACTGGGAAGAAATAACCTGCTGATCATCTTTTTGCCAACATAGTATTAAAAGCATCTAAAGAAATAATGCTGTGTTAAATGATCACCTCCTCATTTCCTGTGGCTGAGTGTGTGGGAACATGAGAGAGAAATGCCTGGCTCTGGAGAACAAAACTTGTCTCCTTGTCCCCGTGAAGTGTGCATGTGAAAAAAGTTCATAACGGGCATCTTTGAAGGTGACATATATGCACTTTGAAAAACTAAAAGGATGCAGATGTCTGTCATGTGCAGATGAGTCAAAATGGTCCTAATTATGCCAATCAAGAGTGAAACCAAGATAATATGCTAGAAGAGCTACACTTGGGTTTGGAAAAGCATAGTAAATCCTAGTTAAAGTTGAACACACCTCTAGCTCCAGCTTTATAGGAAGCTAAGATAGTTCTGAGGCCAGCCTGTACAAATAGCAAGACCCATTCTAAAGCCACCAACAGGCAGAGGGAGCCACAGCCCTTTCTCCAAGGTTCTTACATGCAGTAGGTACTAGACTGAGACACTGCCTGCCCCTTGTTGCACAGGCATACCACAGTAGCCAATGCTGCTCATGTTTCAATCTGCTGTTGCTTTCGGAGTTGCCTTCCTTTATATCCGTCCCTTATTTTCTTATTGTAACCCGAATCCCACAGAGGATGTCAAGACCACTAGAGGAAAACAGAAAAGCTAGAAAGGAGCCTAAGTACACTGCCAGAGAATGGCTGGGCTATTGCACAGCTCACTCCCAGGTGGAGGCTCCTGAGGCATCCCACTGGTCCAAGGATAATCTGATTTTCATTCCCTGGTCTCTTACAAGGCCATAAGACATCCAGAGACAGAAAGGAGAACTGATGCTCACTGCCTTCTCATTCTTTTGAAACAGCACATTAAATGAGCTCTTCAGGCACTGGAATTTCAAAGATTGAAAAAGAAAAAAAAGACTTGGTTTTGATTTTTTTTTTTTGAATAGAGGATTTCATGTAATTTTAACTACTGATCTTCCTGCCTCCACTTTCCAAGTGCTAGACTTACTATCATGCCCTGCTAAAGTAACAACAAAACACAATCCACACCAACTCCCCCCCCAAAAAAAACAACAAACCAACCAACAAGCAAATTGTCATTAGTGTTTAAAATTTAGCCAGAATGTAACTAATTCTAGTCCAAGGCTCTAGAGTAGATTTAACTACCCAGGACACAGTGACAGCTAGTAGAGCCAGAGAATGTTGGCCTGTTTGTGTGTGTTTCACACATGCATTCACATAACGGATGCTTGAACAAACATGCACACAGTCCAGGCAGAGTCCCTCTTCCCTGCATTGTTTCAGAGGAATGGTGTTCCACAGCTGGGTCAAGTAGAACCCCCCGTCATGGATGGAATATGTCCCTAGTGAGGGTGCTATGAATCTTCTGCCATGAGCTGCCACCTCCACAGTCCGTGTAATGCCACCTAAGTGTTCTGCCTCACATGACTTGCTGCAGGCTGCTGGAGATTAGAGCCATCGATCGCTCCCTGCAGAAGAGTCTCGCTGTGCAAAAGGAAAGTAAGCAGCGGAGACAGACAGCTCATGTATTGATCTGCTCTGGTGGGGGGGCTGTACTTCCAAATGAGGATCAGCACTCCTTCCCAGCACCTAGGAGGGTTACTGTAATATGCATCGGGACATGACAGAGATGGCGTGTGGGGCCAAACACTGCTGCCCCCTCTCCTGTCAGTGGGCCACAGACTTGTCAGAGAAGCCAAGGTGCTGTGTGAAACCTCCAGCTTTTAAAAAAATGCTTGGCAACATTCTATACTCTTTGGGTATCCTATATTCATTCACGGCAGGGCTAAAAGGCTGTTGTAAGAGATCTGCCAGATAAATTAGGGAAGAACAATTATGGATGCATTTCAAGAACATCCTTCTAGTACCCAAGAGTCACGAGAAACCTTTTTCCCATAGAAGAGGACTACTCATGAAACTTAAAGGTGGACATTTAAAGATTGGCCCCCAAAACATTTGCTCTCCTTAAAGAAAGTGCAACAACATAAACTAGATGGTTTCCGGGTTTTTTTTCAAACTTCCACAGGCACAAAAACATAAATTCACCTAAAAAGAAAAATGAAATTATGAAGTATATCAAAACTCATGATTCTTGAAAGTTATGCAAAATTAAATATGGGATTAATGAAAGCAGATTTAAGTGGGACCAGTGAGATAGCTCAGTAAGTAACTGCCTGCTGCCAAACCTGAAGACCTGAATTTGATCCCTAGCAATCACCTGGTAGAAGGAGAGTACCAGCTTCTGCAAGTTAGCTGCCCTCTGGCCTCTGCATGTATGGCACATCGCATATGCCACTTGCTCACATCAATTAATCAACAAGAATGTAATAAAATTTAAAGTGAGAAAGTAAAGAATCCACATAGAACTCAGAAGACTCTACGTGTGCGTCTGTGGAAATAGATACAAACTGAACTGTCTTGCTTTTATGAGTAGTTGTTGGATTAAAGTCTTTATTTAAAATCAGTTATCTCCTTTTGGTAAGCAATTTCCTTCTAAGCTATAAAGATATCTTATGGTATAATCAAATAAATGGCACCAGAATACTTTGCCCTCAGAATTCCTTAGTGTTTGCATTTTTTATTTCCACCCAACTAAAAATACTGAGTCCTGATATTCTGGATGGTGGGACTGAAATATGAATAAGACAGGCCTACAGAACTCAACTTGTCTATCTTGGGGCCCTGACCCAGAGTGACCACAATATTGTTTGAGGGCAGCCGACTGGGATGTTGCTGATCTCAACAGGCTTTCTTTCCTCCCTCAGATCTTTAGTGGCCAATAATTCTGAGTTGTCCAATGTGAGACTGCAAAGCCTTGTGCCTCCCCGTAATCCCCGCTGTCTCTTGAAGCCCCAAAGAGACAAGCAAAAAAGTTGGACTGAGGCAAGAATACTCAAACTGGCTACAGGAAGGGGCTGCAGGTCAGGTATACTTGGTCAGTTCCTAGCTATTCCTGCTGTACAGATATAAGCCACAATAGACCCAGGCAGGACCCAAACCTGAGTCTAGGAAACTCATAGTCATCCTTCATCCATTTTTCTTGAAAAACCTCTGCCAGCATCCTTAGGTTATCTTGTGAGAGGAGGCAATGCTCGGACTTCTATTCCTGTTTACCTTTTTATCTAAAATTAGAAAGTAAACTAACTTTACTGAGATTTAATGCATGGCCTCACTGGAATGCTTCTTGCTCAGTCATCCCTGGGCCTGTCCCTGGCAGAGGGACAGAGAGAAACAGACAGCAGAACCCTCATTCACTTTCCACACACTATGGGCTCCTGGGGTTTCTATGAGTTCTGAATTTTATCACCTCATAAACAATCATTACAATCCATTGGCCAAAGGCAAGATGTGGCTCACAGGCCATGGTAGTCTTTTCTGTAATGAGATCTGCACTTTTTCTCATAGGAAAGGTCTTGTAACAGAAAGATGAATTACTCATTTTTGATTTCTTTTTTTAGAACAGGAAATGTTCTGGAGTTGGTGGCCTTTTCTGTGATGGCAAGGGGCTGACTTCATTTACTCATCTAACAAGCATTTCCTGAACAAATATTTATCCTGTGGCAGGTGCTGAGGTTGCATCCAGGGTTGAGTCTCTCCTGGAAAACACAAGCACGGTCTGTATCCTGAGCTACCCTTATTTTACCAATTTGCTAAATATTTCTACTATCACCTTTAGAAATATCCATGGAGGAAAAAAATGAGACAAAGATCTCCGTCCTCACATAGTAGGTCCAGCACGGATAAAAAGAGTAAGTGAATTCTACAGTAAATTAGATGGCGACAAGGGCTCACACAATAAAGAACACAGGAAGGCCACAGGAGGTACTAGAGATGTTTGTGCACAGATGTGCGTAGGTGTGTGCAAGCTTTATGCAGGAAGGAGGGGGAGAGCTCAGAGAGGTGGGAAATGAGCCCTATGGACACCTGGGAGCAGCTGTGCAGGCAGAGGGCAAAGAGCACTTGCCCGTGGCACTTGTGATCTTGGCAGTATGAGCAGGGCAGTGTCGGTTTATTAGTCCAGGCTGCTATGCTGAGGAGAAAAAGGGGGCAGGAGAAGTGAGGCAGCTCTGGCCAGCAATAAGCCTTTAGCTGACCTTAAGAAGTCATAAAGGAAGGAGGACATTTTAACACTGTGAGAGTGTCTGCCATCTGAATACAACATGCTGTGGTGAAAAGACCTGGAATGGAAATGTTGGAAAACACAGCCTTCGGCATTGGAATTAACTTGTTGAAGACAGTCTGTGTTTTTGCAAAGCTCTCATTTCTGCAGCATCCAAAACAACAACAATGAAACAATGAACAGAATTTAGTACAGTGCTTCTAACCTCCCCAAATAAAGATGTTAGTACATTTTCAATATTTTAAAAAGTATCAGTCAGGTTTAGGTCGGTATAGGTCAGTGGTAGACTGCTTGCTTGTCCCAGGCTCAAACCTCAGAAACACACACACACACACACACACACACACCCCAGTACAACTGATACAGCATTAAGGAAGATGGCAACTTCCAGCCCAATGTTCAGAGGAATCTTCTTTGTGAAACTGATGGCAAGAATGAACACTGAGCATGAGCTATTGGGTTTTACAGACTAAGACTGTAATATGTCCCAGCCCATGTACGTCTCTTTAGAAAATTTTGGTTTTGACTACCAACCAACAAACAAAATCCAAATCAGTCAAGCCTGGAAGGACCTCCTGAGTCATAGAACTTTAAACCAAAGTTTTAAAAAATAGTATGCCTATTTAATCCCACTGCAGTCAAAAACTACTATCTTAGTAAAAGCGGAACAATTTTATGCTATATAAAATACTTCAAAAAAAGCTCTTTACTCTTTATCACATCCTTTCAAAATCCACATTATTGGGCACACTTTGTAATATGGATCCAGACTTCCGAGGCTGGCAGTGGACTCAAGACGGTACCCTTGCTTACTGATGTGAGGACCATGATGATTTAATTTCCATTCCTTCCTCTGAACAGAACCAAGAGCTGTGACCTCAAGTCAACAATGACATGCTGTCCCCCCAAAGCAAGCTCACCAAAATCCTTCTAATCTAGAGGTATTTAAATAAACAATTGTGGTTATTATCTGAGTATGTTTTTGGAAAACAAACCCAACAAAATCTTGTGAAATTTCTAGCCTATTGAGACTTGGAAGATCAACAGATGAAGATCTTAATGAGAGATACCCACTGATGCTGACAGCCTGAAGCTGCAGTTGGAAGTCCTTCTCCTCTCATGCAGCTCCCTCCATCCTCTCACTCTCTTTTGTAGTTTGTGGTTGGAAGACTCAGCAGAACCATTGGATGCTGACTACAGGCCTTTCCTATATCCCAGAATAAACACTGCTGGTGAAGAAACACTGCTGGTGTAGGTACTGCACCCTACAGTAAAGCCAGGACCTAAGAGACAGGAGAAGCTCAACTGTCAAGTTCCCATGGCATGCATAGCAAAGTCTAGGAACCACAGTGTTCTGTAAGAGGGTGGAATGGTGCAACCACTTCTGATCACAGACTGTTCTCCAAGAGCCAGACTTTCTTGGGCAACTCAGCACGTATATGCTTTCTTGCTCTTTTCTTGATCTGTTTATATGGGTATGCATGCTTTATCAAGTCTTTTCCTTTCCTATGGTGTAAATACAGGCACAAATGATAATGAGTCTGTACTCAGCAGTTGATGATGATCACGGGAGAAAGATACAACAATTAAATGACAAGAACTAAAGGGGAAAAAATGAGGTAACGCTGCCCAAGGAAGAGAGTTTGGTAGAGGACTTCCTCACAAATGACTTTTAAACAGAGACTAAGGGAAGGGAAAGAGCTATGAAGGCACTGGGAGGAGGGATGGGGCAGATGGAATCTTAGGCAGAGCATGGAGTTCTTTAGGTTGCAGAAGCTGCATTTCAGTTATGTTTTAAGGATAATGTTTTTACATATACTTCATTCCACAACTAACAATAACCTGAGGGATTATCTTCCTCACTTTACAGATAAGAAAGCAGGCAGAGGTAAAATACCAAAGAACTAGTTACCAGTCTAAAACTGAAACCCAACTTCTGTCTGAGGCCAGCTCTCATATATGCTTGAAAATGTGGGTACTAAGACAAAGACATTTTGAAATGGGTCTAGCATTGGTAGGAAGATGACTGCCATGGAGAATAGGCAGCACCTTGAATTCTTTTCTACCAGAATTGTCAGTAACAATGAGCA